GGGGGTGGGGCTTGGGGTATGGGTGGGGCCTCAGGGAAGGGCCAGGGCTAGGGTGTTTGGTTTTGTGCGATTAGAAAGTTGGCAACCCTAATTGTAAATGATGGTCTTGAGAGCACTGATCTTCAGTAGATTGCACAATATCTGCATCAATCTGGATGAAAAGTTGGACCCCTGGTCTGCCAGTATTTCACTAGGGGGCAGTGGTTTGTATGTAATATGCACTAGCCAGCTTCTTACAATAAAGTGTGGTTGAAATTCAAAATATCACCCAGAAGGGGAGGACATTTCAATCCCCCCCCCCATTTTTTTTGATCAGCTGTAATTACAATACTGCTGACTATACATAGTCCTAAAAGATCCTTCAGTTTTAATGAAAGCATGCTGTGCTATCCTGCCACCCTTATTAATTACAATAATGATTGCTGTGTCACCTAGGTGTTTTAAATAAGAATAAAACTCCAAACACCACCACAATAAGACTCAGATTAATTTACCCAAGACTCTTAAGCTAAAAATAAAAAAGAATTAAATCTATTCAGTGTTGGATTCTTGTCATATGGGAGCAACAGAGGCATGGTTCCTTTAAGGCTGTTTTTCACCATATTTATTTCCTTTATGCTATCAACTTAACAACACTAAGTGACTCTGCATAATTCATTCATAAACAGGGTAAGCTAGGTAATGTTGCTGACTCATGCTTATGAGCGATTTTCCTCGTCCCTCCCACCCCGGCTTCCACCCCACCCCCTTAAACTAGAACTGGTTGCCTACAATATTTAACAGCTGTCTTGGAGCTGGGAGCAATATACAGTCAAGACGCATGGTGTGCTCTGCTTCTCTAGAAATACAGGCACTGATACACAGACTTTTTCCTTCTCATCAGCTTCATTTCCTGAGGTAAGAGGACTGTTGATGAATAAAAGAAGCTTTATTAGCCAGGCATAAGTAGCATATTGCTTTCTAGAAGGGCACAAGGGAATGCTTTTAGAAAGAAGGTGTCAGCTTAATGAACCACATACCTGGATTGTTCCTCATTTGTGTCTATGGAATGCTTTGTATTAGAATCACAAGAATAAGACTGACGAGGAGGGTCAGGTAATATCTTTTGTTGGACCAACTTCTGTTGCTGAGAGAGGAGCTTTTGAACTTACATAGAGAAGAAATGCAAGCAGAAAGATTCTATTAAAACTTTAGAAGGATGCAGTAAACTTTAAACTGCACTCAACTGTTGGAAGTTTCAGTATTTTAAAAAAATGAATGAAATCAAATGACATTACAAATAGCTGCCTGTGAAATTAACAGAGAGAAAAAGAAATCAACAACTGATGGAAACTGCTGTGTTCGTGACAAGCTTGTGCCGCTCCTGTTACACCTGAATCTCATAGAAACACCTGCAAGCTGCTACATTATTTATAGCTGCACTGCCCTTCTTAAAATCTCTCCATGTGTTGTACTGGCCTAATTTTATGGTCCTTATTTAAGTAAGACTCCCATTGATGACTCTGGGAGCTTTGCTTGCTCAGGGCAGCAGAACTTGGCTCTTGCTACTAAAGTTGCTCCAGTGTATTGCTAACAAATCACTGCTTGCTTTCTCTCTCTCTCCCCCTTCTTTGGATTTATAATTCATTTCAGTTGTGCAGCGTGGAAACACTAGGGTTCACATTGGCTTGCTTTACATGAGTGATACCTTTTAAGTCCAATGGGAGTACATGTGTAAGGAGAGCAGGATTTGGCCCTAGATGGATAAGTTAGGCACTTCTCCTAGCCAGAACAGTTATGTAACGTTACCTAAGCAGTGAGACACATTGTTGGCAATGAGGGGATGGATTCTGGCACACAGTAATAATAGAACAGACAGCACTTCCAGATTGGGGCGGGAGGTGGGTTGCAGGGAGAGGAACATTTAAGGTGGAATCCTAAATTAGAAGCCAATACTATGAATGGAATCATTGCGCTGGCTGAGTTTGAATACTGGGTGTTCTGTTTTACATAAAGGAAAACAACCTAGTTTCTTTTATTTGATCAGTTTCTTCCCCCATTGCACTTCCATAGCAAGTTCAGTATAAACCCTGGGGAAACTCCCACACACCTTATGCACTTGTACAATGCAATGCCACTGAAGGTGAGTAGGATTTGACCTGCTATCTGGATTTCAATGGTGGGAATGAGTCCTCTCAGTTTTGAGAGTGATCCAAATATTTTGTCTTTGGCTCTAATGGCATGAGAGAATTTTTCCCTCCTGTGTCTTCAGCAGTTTCTATTCTATATTTAATGTATTGAGCTAAATCCTGCTTTCCATTGATGCAAATGAATGTAAGACATTTGCAAAGGTGTAAACTGGTGCAGAACTTGGCGCATTGGTGTTAGCTTTCTTCTTATAAAACAGGTAATTACTATAAACCATACAGGTGACCGATCTAGAGCAGGGAGGGAATACTTCTTTCATCAGTAGAGCTGTGCTAGGATAACTATTAACAACCGTGATGGAAAATAAGTTTGCATATTACTCTACACAATAAGGAAATGGTATCCGGAGGCATCAGTCACCTAACTTTATGCCAATTTCATTGCTGTGCATCTAGCTAAGGAGGTACATTTGGTTTTTATTTGATCTATTTTAGTGCTAGTGTTGTCTAATCTGGGTTTGGATCTAAGACATCCCCACAGTGTAGCCAGTGATACTACTCTTGCCAATAACTCTGGGTATAATTCCCACGAATGTCTCCTTCCTTTCACATATCAAAAGCCATAAAAGGGGGAATTGACTTATCACGGGTAGTCCACAGCTCCTGGGCTCCTGCTGTAGAGGTGGATGATAGCAGAGCAGAACAGCTAGAGGCCAAGGCAACCTGCTACTGAGGGAGGCAAAACTACACAGCTGGTTCTGGCCCATCTTGCCCCACCTATGTCCCCTAAAAGACCCACTTTAGCAGCAGTCTCAGTAGCAGCATGGTATTATCTTACGCTGTGCTGCCAGTGGCTGGTTCACGGTCCATTGCCCAGCCACAGAGAACGTGCAGCCATTCTATCAGCAGTGTTTCTGCAGACTGTTGGAGAAATACACACTGCTGTCTTTTAGGGACTCTGTATCCCTCCTCTTCCCCCGCTTAATCTAAAGAAAAGTCATTCTAGTCTGAAGGTTCATGGTTTGCTCTGCTAGGAAACATACCCCAGACCTGTATGTTGTGTGGAACAGCCATGGTGTGAGAGCTACTGCCACTCTTCAGGCAAGCACTGACCATGTCAGCTGCATTATAATTTATGCTGCCTCAGAGAATATCATGCTGTGTAGAATGGCAGTTCCAACTCCTTGGTTTCACACAGCCACCCCACCTGCTTAGAGCTGAACTTCTGCAATTGCATCTGGGGAGGCAGGAGAGAGGTGACTGCATAGTAGGGAGTTAGCCGTGTGCCTGTTTCTGATTAGTTCTGGCACGTGGTTGGAATGCCTTATCCTTCAGCAGCAGGGAACTGTCGTTGTGAGTAGGAGGGTAACATGTCTGCATATAGCGCGGTGCTTTTTGTCAAGGATACAATATGAGACACAGCCTAAAAGCGGCATAGACAGACGTGAAAAGGAAGGACTAAGGTGAGCTATCAAGAGAGGAAGCGATTTAAAGGCAGAGTGGGAGGGAAGATGTGTCCAATTAGACAGAAAGTCTCCAGAGTTGGATTCCAGGGAAAGTTATTGTTAATTTAGTTTAGAAATTCACCATGCCACGGTCTGTGTGTTGGTGCTGCCTCTGGGCATACTAGGATCTGAGCAACACCAGTTGTCCTGCAATAGTTAAAGTTATGACCGTGTTTTCCTGTGACAGTGCCCTATTTATAGAGGACTTATAAAAACAGGCCTTGGGCTGATAAAAGCCTGAGGACTTTACACTTGTTATAGTCCATGATTTCTATAGTTAGAGCCTCTTGTTTTTTGCAAATGTGAAATAACACAAAATGAAATCAAAAACCTAAGTATAAAAAGAAATAAAAGGAAAAACTCGCCTTGCAGCAGCGGCTACTGTGGTTCCTGTCCTGCAGGGGTGGGTCTGGCTTGCCATTCTGGGCATTGCAACCTGGTGGCAGGTTGCAGAGCAAGCTGCCCCACCCATAAATGCTGGAACTAGTGGGGTTAGGGGTACTGCTGCACCCCGTGATTTGAACTAGTAATAACAACTCACATACATGGTTTCCACCTTCCGCCCCTCCCTCCCCCACTATAAAAATTGTTCCAGCACCACCTGTCCCGTGGGGCTAGGCCCAGCTCCCTGCTTTGGGCATTGTGACTGGGCACATGGGATTGAAGCGTTGCTCGGGTTTGGCCTGGCTGCCCCTCCATCATGACGAGGGCTGGCTGGGTCAAACCTGCGCAACACTAGGAACCCGTGTGGCAGGTGGCAATGCCCAGAGCAGGAACCTGGGCCCAGCCATGTGGGATGGGAGCAGCAGGAGCCACCACTGTGGGGTGAATGTGTGGCAGGCTCACTCTGCAATCCCCTCCCCTGCCAGGGGCTCCCACCTCTCCAGGGGCAGGACTCAACACTGTCTCCACCCTCAGCAAATACAAAATAAAAAGAATCCCCCTCCCCCTCCCCCCCCACTAAATTATAAAAAATACAGAAAAATTTCACAAGCTCAAACTGAGCCTTTTCACAGGATCATCTGGTTCACCATTAAATGCTTCATGCTTGACACTTACACACATTTAGTAGGCAGTGATCAAATGTTACTTAATGTCACAATAAATCATCTAGTTTCTTTCACCGGTAGATTAATAACAGTTAAAGGCCAATAGATATCACTAGAGTTTTGAGGCAGAAATAGATACCTATGTGTGCTAATTCCTAATGACCAAGTAAGCATGGACTCTTTGGTATCATTCATTTCCAGATGATGGAATGCTGTCAAAAGAAATGGTACAAAGCAAAGGGTAGCCAGGACTTGATTCCTTCTAGAAGATCCATGATGCTTTTGTTTGCTCAGATGGGAGATGTTACTGGCTAAAACTGCATGTTTGTCTAGTTTTCGCTTGCATGAAAACATTTGCTATTTTGTCAGCGCCACCCACCAGTGTTACCTTCTTCAAAAAGTTAGTGAAATGCCTACTTTTTGCCTTTACCAGTGCCAAAGCTATCTTGCTTCTTGCCATTGGTCTGTCTACCTATTGCATTTAAAAACTGGTTTTTGATGCCCAGAAGTAAGATGCTAACTTCCCTTCATCTTTCGTGCAACATGGCTGAAATTCACTTTTGTGCAGATGTTCACCGTAAAGACTATGCACAACTTAAATGGTACATAGGCCTTGCACTTCCTCTCTGCTCAGGGGTGAGTTTTACCCTTTTGGAATGGTTAGCATCTTCTGTCCCAGAGCTGGCTACATTTCAGAGGCAAATTATTCCAAAACACAGTATATGTGAGAATTAGCAACATGAATTGGGATCCTGCCAGAGGAAAGGCAGTAGGTAAAAGACTATTACAATTCATTTATGGCAAAGGGATATATTGTATAGTACAGGAGTATCAGCTTCTCTATGGCCTGGTCTACACTACGACTTTAATTTGGATTTAGCTGCGTTAATCCGAATTAATCCTTAACCCGTCCACACAACGGAGCCAGTTACTTCGAATTAAAGGGCACTTAAAATCGATTTCTGTACTCCACCCCGACGAGCAGAGTAGCACCAAAATCGATTTTGTTAATTCGAATTAGGGGTAGTGTGGCCGCACACCACCGAATTAATGTGGTTAAAAACCGAATTAATGTGCTTAGTGTGGCTGCGCACAATCAAATTTATACAATCTGTTTCCCAAATTCGAATTATCTAAATTCGGATTAATCCTGTAGTGTAGACATACCCTAAGACTAAATTCAAAAAACTTGATTACTAGATTTTTTTTAAACTTCAAGGTAAAATTTGTGTTGCTGCTTGTTCAATCTGCCGGGAACTTAGTAGGTTCTTGCATTAAGTAGTGAAGTAGACTTCAGCTTAAATGAACTGTTGCATAAATTGGATGACATTTGTGGTGAAAGGATTATGTCAAACATTATGACATGCCAAGCTTGTTTGGGAATGTACAGCACGCTTACCAAAGATCTTTTTACACTCAATGAAGAGACGAGGATGCCCCGCTGAGCCACGTCATTCCATTCAATGAATTCTGATAGGTTTTCAAAATTATGAAGGTGTTAATTTAATATTTTCATTTTCTGGAGGCTAGCTGAAGATTTCTATGGAGAACACTTGTCTAGTCCTAGTAACCACAGCGAATTTGTAAGCCTTTCTGGTCTCAGTGGATTAGCAGCACCGAAAGTACAGATGACTAATACAAATTCATTCAAACAACTTTGGAATTATTTATTTACGGTGGGAAAGTCACTGCAGCCTCAAGATAGCAGTGAGTTAGGCGTGGCTAGCTTGCACTTAGTGTACATGCCTAGTCACTGTGCTGTTCAATTAAAGTTGACAAGAGTGACAGGACAGGTAAGGGCTTACCAACCAGTCTCACTCCTATTCTCCTACTCAGTCACTAGGAGATTGGCTGATAGGTTTGTTATTCGTCTCTGGATGGCTTAACAAGCTCTGATTCAGAACTCTGCATATACATGGGATCTCCTTGCTGTTAAGGAATTAACAGATGGACATAAATATTTTCCACTCCATGAATCTGATAGTAACACCTGTCATTGCAAGAGGACAAGGATATTGCTTTTAAAAGAGCTTGTTAACGACTGCACCCAGTGGTTTAGTGCTTTAGCAGTTCAAATTACTCAGAAACCTTTAGCAATGTGATGGGGCATTTTTGAAAATGATGCCAACGGCTTTCAAGTCTTCAAGCAGAAGTTTAGACTCAATGCTGCATGAATGTGCAAACTTCTCTAAAAATACAAATGTCACAAGAACCTCATTGAAGAAATATTTTGTGTTTGCACAGCAGCTTGGAAAATTACCAAATAGCCCTCGAAGTCACTGTAACAAGAACTTAGCCCATGATGTATAGTGCTGATAGGAGAAGGGAAGCTTTTGCTACGACTCACCTGCAACATTCCCTGTTGTTTGAATCCTTGGCCTGTCTTGAGTAGAGGCTGGCACTTGTATCATGTGGACCAAAAAAGTCCATGAAGGACTAAGACAAGGACATCTTTTGTTTATGGCATAATTAGGATTTGACCTTAGGTTTCCAATACAAAAGTTACACCTATACTTTATGGGAGTTGAAATTTAACTCCATTTATGTAAAACGAGGATAATATTTTAGATTAGCTGCTACAGAGGGCTATGAAGAGGAGAGAGTATTTGTTATTAAAAAAGGATAGTTAATGGTTGCCTTTTTTTGTCATTACAGGTAGATTTCTGGTCCTGAATCCTTTCAGATGTGAAGATGTATCCAGCGTTGAACAAACTCCCAAATAAAAGTGATTCCAAACCACTTCCCATTGTTGTTATAGGTAAATAATATTTTGGCGATGTAATCCGTGTTCTCCAGTGCTGGAGTCTTACTAAGACAGACTATATCTGACATCCTCATACATTGTTCCGAAAGCTGGAGTTCGATGGGCTTTGGTTCAGGTTTACACAGTGAAAACTATGTGAAGTAGTTTAATTTTTAAAACAGCTGTTTGTAGGAATGCAAAAGTGATGCTCCTCTGTACAGTTTTAGAAAGCCAGTTAGTTTGATGTTTGGTGAGTGAATCAGAAACAGGAGCTTCTCGTTTTCAAATGCCCTCTTGGAGGTTAGTTAGACATGCTCACTCTTCATATCAGTTGTGTCACTGATGTGATCAGCTATGACAGATCAGAGGCTTTTCTGGCATACAGGAGTCATTCCCTTTTCACTCAAGCTTGTGCTTAGGTGCCTTGCTAAATTAAGATATGAGCCCCATTGACTCCCCGGAAAGTCAATGTGCTTAAATGCTTTGTTAGTGCTGGGCTTGTTCCGTGCCCACCATCTAAACCAGGGTGAAATTCACCCCTGTGGAGTGAGCCCATACAAGGTTCATGCACTACAAAAGTTTCACTTAATCCTTTTTATCGTAGTTTTGTGAGGTGAACGCTTGTCCCTGGGGGCTGAATCCTGAGAGGCATTTTTAGACAGACAATTGAGAAGCTTGTTTTTCTTGGGATGGGATTGGTAAATTCTTGGTACTACCTTTTTAAAGGGTCCAATTCCAAACCAAGTTTAACTTAGAGACCACTCTGAGTGTTGCCAGTGCAGAGATTTCCCCCGCCCAGGAGAAGGGAGGCTCTGATTTTCTGAACAGCTCCCCAGGAACATTGCCAGCTGGAAATTGCTGGAGAGTACTCCAGGGGTTGGCTAGACTGGTTCTGTGACAGCTGAGAGCTCCCTCATGCCAGGGCAATCAGCTGATCAGATCCAGCACAAAAGCAGGAGTGCATCTGGCCTACTTTATGGGACTTAAAGATTCATATTTATAACCGCAGCTTTGTCCATAACTCCGCCTCATGTAGCCAGATGTTTAAATGCTGCTCAGGAACTCTGACATAACCCCAACAGTAGAAGAGCAAGTTAAGGATGACTTGTATCCTGGTTCTGTTTCAAGTTAATGATTGGGTTTTTATTTCCATCAGTTTTGACTTGGCTTTTTCTCTAATCTAGGTGAGAACAGTGTTAGGAATAGAATTGAGAAGTGGCCTTTGCTCCCAGCAGTTCATTGCTCCCAGAGCAGGGATTATGTCAACAGTGCTATGAAAGTGCACACACAACGTTACAAGCTGCTGTGTCACTCTGACTGTTTTTTCCAGCACTGCATTATGTAATGGTGGTTACTAAAGAGCAACAAAGCTTTGAGCTGTAGACGCTGATAGCTAGTTATATAGACACTGTAAAATATTAAACCTATTGGAAAACAGCCATGTGAAAACTTTCCACAGACTACTCCACTGTACACTGACGTAGAGTGTGTATATTCACTTCTGAAGCCAGTTGTTGGGTGGGCGGTAGGAAAGTTTTAGCCATCCAGCTATTTGTTCAAAGTGTCATACTTTGAGGGATGGTGGTGGTGGGGGAGGGAGGCCTCTTTGCCCAACCTCCAGCTCACTGCTTGCTTCCAGTGACTAGAAGGAGAGAAAACAAAGGCGGGAGAGAACTAAACCTATAGGGCTGATTGGAGACCTAGTGTAATCAATAGCCACTCCATTAGCTTCATTTAAATCAATCAGTCAACAGGTTAGAGAGCGTCCAAATTTAAGGTGAGAAATTTGGCCAGTTTCTTTGACTTATTCAGAACAGGGTCTTCTGCCAAATCAGTGACCAGTATCCAAGTGATTAGAGAATTGGCATATGAGGCATTGTGTGCCCACCCCCTGCTCCACATATCTTCCGTGTCACATAGTGGTAATTGAGATGAGTCTAGGTCTGAAGTCCTTGGCCCTACCAGGTAATCTCCAGAAAATACCCTGAGGTGAGCAATAAAGATCCTACATCTCTTCCTAATAACCTACTTGCTTCAGAATGACTCTAGACAGTGGCATTGAGCAGTAGGCACCAAGGACTTGAACCTGCTGTCTGATGTATGGCAGCACCACTTCAGCTCTCAGAAATTAGCTACCCCACGTGAATGTACATCATAGCAGTGTCTGATTTTTCTTCAAGATTATGAAGGGATGCAAGTTGCATTTAGGCAGGAAAGAATGAAGCCTTAACTCTTCTGGGGTTTGAGCCCGAGCCCAACCCCCACCCTTCCATCCATACACCAATCACTCCGACTCTGGTCAGCAAGCATTCAGGATGCGGGTATTAGGACCCTGCAAGGGGGTGGGTCAGAGCCTAAGTCCTGCTGTGGCTTGGGTCCTGTCATTTTGCAGTGTGGACTCAGGTCAAGCTGTAGACCTGAGTCAGAAGGTTTGTGTAGTGCAGTGTGGACCCCTTGGCACAGCTGTGAGATCTGGGTCCAAAACCCAGGTTTACAATTGAGTGTGGGTGCTCAAACACAGGCTTGGAAACACTGAGTCCACAAGTATGGGTCCCACAGCTCTGGATGTAGTGTGTAGACGTACCCTCAAAGTCCAAGAGCAGGTTTAATTCCTAAACAGGAGCATCATCCTTTGAAAAATGCAGCTCTCTTCCAAGCCTGCTGTTTTGCCCGTGTTTGACAAAGCACTAGCTTATTAGAGTGTCAGTAGTGCTAAGAGGTCCCAACTGGAATCAGGGCTCCAGGGTGCTAGGTTTTGTACGTAGATCTTGTAAGAAACAGCCCCTGCCCTGCACAGCTTACAATACACCTAGATATGACAGACAAAAAGGGAAACCGAGAAGTGAAGTGATTTGCCTAAGGCCATGCAGCAGGACCGTGGTTGACTTGAGTCTAGAACCCAGTTCTCCTGAGTCGAAGTCTATCCCCTGGATCATACTGCATATCTGATGAGATGTTTTACAAAGGACTATTGTTCCAACCACAGTGATACAATATTATTTTAATGTGTTTGTTCAGGGAATGGTCCTTCAGGAATTTGCCTTTCCTACCTGCTGTCTGGTTATATCCCTTACATCAAAAGGGGCTCTGTTCATCCTCATCCTATTCTACAGAGGAAACTAGAGGAAACACCAGAAGTCCCCATTATAGACCAGGTTTGTATCAAATGAATTTGCCTTTTAACAGAAAGAAGTAGATAGAACACATCACCACCATCATATGCCCAGAGCATGCTGGCAACAGAAGCCTTAAGCATGGGTTAATTTGTTTCCCAAATCATCATGGTATATAGGGCCAGCACAAGGGCTTCGCACTGCTCAAATCCTCCAGACAGGGCTTGTGTGACATGTAGGCCTTGTTCTGACTAAGTGAAGTTCAGCTCTGCTGAGCACCTAGTGATATTACATTACTGCTGCATTTTGAAGTGATCTCATGTGTTAGATGATGCAGGCTCTAAGTATCTGCCCTGTCTTTTAGGATCTGGAGTACCTGTCTGAAGGTTTGGAGGGACGATCCCAGAGCCCCGTGGCTCTTCTTTTTGATACTCTGCTGCGTCCAGATACAGACTTTGGTGGAACTGCAGAATCTGTCCTCACTTGGTGGCACGAGACCAACAGGGCTATTCCCCATCTGGTCCTTGGCAGAAACCCTCCTGGGGGTGCCTGGCATGTATGTAGCTTATGAAATGTGTATTACCGAATAGTCAGTATCCTGATGAAAGATGTAAAGGGCTGAACAAGCTAATCAGCCAGACAAGCAGGCTCCAGCAGGGCTCTGCTTTTACACCCACCAAAAAGTGAGCTGGTTTGAATGTGCAGGAGAGATTTTCCCTCCCAGCCCACTACTGCCCTTTGTTCCATCCAAACATCTGGATCCGCTGAGGTCCCTGGGCTACACTAAAATGTGATTTACTGGAACTTAACAGAACAGTGTTCCTGTTCCATTAGTGCTTAATTCCTTTCATTTTTCAGTTGCTTAACTCATTCGCTGTTTGTTCTTTCAGTTTATTGAGGGATCTATGATCACTCTGAGCCAAGGGGAATGGATGGGGCTTCCAGACCTTCAGTTCAAAGACTGGATGAGGAAAAAAAGAAGGTGAGGAGACTGACGTGACATTACTTTGCCCCAAAATCCTATTTGGAAATATCTGGTATGAAGTCCAGCTGGCTACCTATTATGGCCAGTTTCAGTGAGTGGAAGAAATCCCCCAAGAAAAATCTATTTGGTATTCAGTGCTGGTGGTATAAAATTCAGAGTAACTCCATGGACCGCAGAGCAGTTAGTTCTGAATGTACACTGGGGTAACAGAATGTGGCCAGCAGTTACATTTAAAAATCTGAATTAATAGGTGTGGAAACCATAATTTTTGGATAGTGTAGCCCATTTGTATTGTCCCGCATTTACAAGTATTCTAATCAGACAGATATACAGTGGGACAGAATGTACAGTGTAATCATTCAGATGTGAGATTGCAAATACTTAGGCTACTTTTGCTTTTGTTAGGTCTATAGCATTTACGTTCTAAGTCTGGAAAAGCTCACCAGAAAAAATAAAATGGAAGCGATAGGGAGGGTAGTCAAGGATAAATATGTTGCTAAAGTTTTTGTGGGGTTTTCATACCAGACAATATTGCCTCTTCCAATTATTCCTGATAGTCAGTGAGCCTGACTGTTCAGACTTGTGTATTAGGAGTAATTCCAGTGAAATGAATTGAATTACTCTGGTGTAAAACTAGGGAGAAGAGAATGCAGGCCCAGTTTCTCCATTAGTGCCAGGGTAGATAGCCCTTCAATACATGCAACAAAGGAGGGAGAAGCCTCTGAATTTCACTGTTCAACCATCATCTATAATATCCTGTTACAGGGGCCTCAGGAATAACAGAGCCACAGCAGAAGACATTGCTCAATATTACCAACATTATGTGGCAAAGAAAGGGCTGCAGAAGAATTTTATCTCTGGGACTGTTGTGACATCTGTGAGGAAAGTGAGCCCAGATGTAAACTCCAGCTATGCACAGCAGGATCCTGAGGGGAACAGTGACTCTTTCTGGGATTTCCCTGAGAAAGAAGATGACCAGATTGCTAGTGGAAATCTCTTCCAGGTGGATGGATTCATCAAAAACACTAATGGTCATCAGCAACCCTTCTCCATCTATGCAGAGAATGTGGTTTTAGCCACAGGAACATATGACAGTCCAACCAAGCTTGGAGTTAATGGAGAGGACCTTCCTTTTGTCCATCACAAACTCTCTGCCCTTGAAGAAGCAGTGAAGAACAAGAGGGTTGGCATGACATCAGATCCAGTCTTGATTGTAGGTGCCGGGCTGACAGCTGCTGATGCAATTCTCTTTGCTCACCATTGCAACATCCCAGTGATCCATGCCTTTCGCAGAAGGGTCAACGATCCAGGCCTCATCTTCAATCAGCTCCCCAAAATGATGTATCCGGAGTACCACAAAGTCCACCAGATGATGAAAGAACAGTCAGTTGCTTGTCCTGGGCCATATGAATGTTACATCAGCCTTCCTGAACATCATGTCCTGTCCTTTACAGAGGACATGAAGTGTGTCTTCCAGGATAAGAGTGGTCACCAGAAAGTCTTTAACATTTCTTTGGCTTTTGTTCTCATTGGCTCAAACCCCAACCTCTCCTTCCTACCAAATAATGGCATTGACTTGGCAATTGACAATGAGCAGCCAGTCAACTCCAAGAGGAACCCCATCAACGTTGACCCATTTACCTACGAATGTGTTCAGGAGAAAGGGCTTTATGCTGTGGGACCATTAGCTGGGGACAACTTTGTGCGTTTCGTGCAGGGAGGGGCTCTGGCTGTTGCCAGCTCTTTGTTAAAGAAAGCAAACAAAAATCCTCCTTAACAAACAAATTGCCCTAAGCCAAAAGCGTTCAAACAGGTGATTCCTCTTCTCTTTGAGAAGTAAGGCATTTGACATGTACACTTTCCCCTGCGGTGCTCTCCAGGACAGTGCAGAGTCACCAAACTCTCAGTGGGTTCATTTGGGAAGGATAAGTCAGCAAGTACATGGTTTGGGATTTAGATCTCAATGTTGCCAACATATCTACCTTGTTAAAAGGTTGAATTTAAGTGCAACCAAGGGACGCAGCCCCATCCCGGCAGAGCTTTGCACTATGGGAATGGGGAACTTGCATCTTAGCTTGGAATAGTTGGGGGCAAAGCAGCAATCACTTCACTATATAAATGTCTTGCAGCTGGTTGAAAAGAGTTCTCAACTTTTAACTATTTTCCTGGTGGCCATATTGGCAAGCCCTGTGTTTTGTCTTTTTCGAATGTTACTGGATAAATACTGGTAATACCACACAACACAAAGTTGTTGCTGTTTCATGTGCTTATGTGGCACAGCTCGATGTTGTTCTTGCTATGCAAAAGTCCATTGAAAGCTGTGCTGCAAGTGTTCTATGCACCTAAACCAGAATTCTGCAATTAGAAATTGTCACAAAAGCATTGCCTAAAGGGCTGCTGTAACCGTCAGGGCCGGCTCCAGGCACCAGCTTAACAAGCAGGTGCTTGGGGCGGCCAAGGGAGAGGGGCAGCACCCTCTAGGAGCGAAGTGAACTGAACTGCCGCCACCGATTGCGGCTTGCTTTTTTTGCTTTGCCAGAAATGCTGGAGCCGGCCCTGGTAACCACTATCTTCTCTTGCAAGGAGCACCACCACCATGTTCTGTATGTCCTATCTTTGGATGCAGCACACTTGTGTATCTGTCTTAGGAGGACTCCTCTTTCAAATAATGGTACAAACTTACTCCTGTTGAGTGCACAATCTTTAAAGAGCTAGAAGGCAGAATGATCGAGAGTGTAACAGTGTTGCATTCTTAGGGCTGGTCTATACTTACCCGTTAGTTCGACGGCTGGAAATCGAACTTCCGGGTTCGATTTATCGCGTCTGGTCTGGACGCGATAAATCGATCCCGGAAGTGCTCGCTGTCGACTGCGGTACTCCAGCTCGGCGAGAGGAGTACCGCGGAGTCGACGGGGAGCCTGCCTGCCGCGTGTGGACCGCATCTGAACCGCGGTAAGTTCGAACTAAGGTATGTCGACTTCAGCTATGTTATTCACGTAGCTGAAGTTGCGTACCTTAGATCGAATTGGGGTGTTAGTGTAGACCAGGCCTTAGAGACCTCTTTAGAGACACCAAAACCAACGTATAAAGAGGAATTATCATTGGTTTGTGAGAACTAGATTAATACTCTGCCCATGTATGATCCTTCGAATTCTTCCTGCTCAATGGAATTGAATGGTTTTACCTTGGGAAGCTTTACATTATATATTGTAGTATGGATTCCCAATATAGGATAATATTTCAGAAAACGTGTTCTGTAAATCAGAAATGGCATTCCACAAATTGTTCTTGAAAGCGAAGAATTGCACAATTGCTTTTAGTTATTAAATTGCTTTGTTCTGTTTACTTTTTTATTTGAATTTTTCATAATGTAGAAGAGTTCCTAGATTAATACCGGAAGAAAATGTTCACTGTAGATTTCTGGATAGCTGTGTAACAAGATCTACCTGCATTTGAACAATGGCCCTGATCCTGCAAGGCCCCTGTATATGGACGTCAATGGGAGTTCCACATTCAGAGAGATTATAGGGTCAGGGCCGATTGTGTTCTCCATATAAGGCCTGACTCTGCTCTGCTTAGTGGGGCAAAACTTCCGTTGACACAGCAAGATGTGCAGAATGAGGCCCAAAGAGGCCACTTTACTGTATGTGGAAGTTGATGTGAAATCCTTTCACATAGCTGCTTACCTGGCATAGTCTGCTGCTTCACTAAGTGCACACAATGCCAGCAAGTCTCGCTGAAAAGTTACACACACAGAGAAAATGTTAGTTTGTAACTGCCTGGCCCCAGAAGTTTTTAAGCAACGCAGGTTTAAGGAACACACACATTGCTGCTGTCTCTTAGCAATGTTGTACAGCACTCTGGAAACTAACTACTTTTGTATTTTCTAAATGAGCTGTGTTAATTTTGTATGTGTAACATGTTTAAATAAAATAATTTCAAACTTACTCCAAGTGAGTTCACTTATTTGAGCTGTAGCTGAATCACTGATCCAGGTGGCATGACATATACGTCAGGCGTTATGCGAACCATTCATCACAAGAATTACTGTTAGGGTCCTGGAAATTACTAAAGTGGATTTACAAACTACAAATCATTATCAAAAGGGAAGCATTGCTCGTGGTGGTTTGACTTCATGAGTCTCCCTTGGTCAAATGAGATGAAAAGCAACAAACAGAGAAGGTATTGATAATTTTCATGAGGTTATAAAGCACCCTGAAAAGAAAGCAAGCCAGATCTTGCCCCATGTCTTTTTTTTCTGCATAGATCCTGTGCTCAGCCCAGTAAGTCAGCTGTGTACAAGGGAGTTTTGCAGGAGTCTAGCAGACATGGAATCCCTCGCCAGCTTGAAGAGTTGCTCAGTGACCACTACTAGTCCCATCTTCCCATCTTGGGTTTGCCAGTGCATGTATTGATTCACTGGTCTCGTCACACTCGACCCAGTTTGCCCTTCAGCAGACCTCTGTGGCTGGGGTGGAGGGAGTCCCCACAGAGCACAGCATGTGGGCTTCACACGCCTTGCTCCCAACCACACACAGATGACTTGCACTTTTTGCTGCTACTTTCAGGGCCTTCTACAAATCAATTTTGACAATGGATGGCGGGGTGGGGGGAGAGAATGGGGGTGTTTCATTCTCCACTTCATTGAAGTCTATGGAAATGGACAGGGGTGCTGGAACAGTTTGTATAGTGGGGGTGCTGAGAGAGCATAAGAACGGCCAGACTGGGTCAGACCAAAGGTCCATCCAGCCCAGTATCCTGTTTACCAACAGTGGCCAATGCCAGGTGCCCCAGAGGGAGTGAACCTAACAGGTAATGATCAACTGATCTCTCTCCTGCCATCCATCTCCATCCTCTGACAAACAGAGGCTAGGGACATTCCTTGCCCATCCTGCTTAATAGCCGTTAATGGACTTAACCTCCATGAATTTACCCAGTTCTCTTTTTAAACCTTGTTAAAGTCCTAGGCTTCACAACCTCCTCAGGCAAGGAGTTCCACAGGTTGACTGTACTCTGTGCCGTTTGAACCAAACTGTAAACCCTGTATATGATGAAAACCACTTCAAGCCAGGGGGTGCGGTAGCACCCCTAGATCCAGCACCTATGGAAACAGGATGCACAGAAACTCAGACACTCAGGGTTAACAGTGTACACCTATCTTCCACAAAGCTATAGTACAAGTAAACAACACTGTATCCCAATTAATATGTATAGGGCAGAAGGCTCAGGGGTTCTGCTGTATCACAGGGCCCAACCCCCATTGGTCCCCAGGGATCTCTGAGAGGCCAAGGCCATCTATGTATTGGTGTCTCTGCATTGGCCCCCGGAGACTCTGACAGCATAGCTCTGATGAGATTGCACTTGCACAGCATATTCCCCACCCCCTACTATGGTTTCTTCTGGGATCCTCCTTAAAAGCTATTCTTACTATGCAGGGTACTCGGTGGGGCAGGTAATACAGCCCTAGTCTATGCTTCCTTTTCTGGGCAGTTTCTGTGGGTCATGGCCAAGGAAGTGATAAGTATCTCTTCTGCCCAAGCCACTGCTCCCCTAGTCCCTTGCTCTTCACCCTGCACAGATCAGCAGAGAGGCCTCGGCAGTGTCTAGATGAAAGAGGCCAGAGCCCCGCTGTGCTGGGGGGAAGGTCTGTGCATACACCCACGCTGGCTTCGGGACCCTTTGAATAATTTGACTGTCCTGTCATTGGTTCCTGGTTTCACTTGAATTTCATTGTCTGCACAGAGGTCACAGTGCTGTAAGTTTCCAGTGTCACGCTATATCTGTGGCCCAGTTGACCTTATATATATATAAAAAAAGATCAATACACTTGGCAGAATGCACCTTTCTTAAAATAGATGTTTTGGCCAAGCCTAGCATTCCTGCATCAGCAGCAAACAGAGCAGAGTCCAAGAACCAGTGGGTCATCTAAAAAAAATTGGTCTCCATGGGCAAGGAGGCTGGGAATAACGGGTATTTATAGGAGTGACACTAGCTGAAACACTGCAGTTATTCATGTCATTAAATCCAAGCTCATGGAGTAGTGCTCAGACAGTACATTCCAGCCGCAGAGGCCATGTCACTAGGATCTAGTTTAGCATCTATATGGCAGCATCTCAGGATCAGGGTAAAAACCACCCCTTTCCAGTTGAGGGGGCTTGTTTAAAAATTATTAGCTGGCGTGCTTTGCCCAGTGGGAATCCGTGTATTGCGTGCTGTGTGCTGTGGGGGTGGAGGATGAGAAAGGGAAGGAGGTTAAGCAACAGGTACTTAGGAAATTTCCTGTGTCCCACCCTGCTACGATACTGAGGAAATAGTCCCCTATACAAGATAATTTACTGGTCAGTGAGCAACAAATCCCCAAGGGCAGGAGTACACTGTGTAAATCAAAGACAGTTATCTCCCACGTCTTTCTACGCAACAAAGAAGACCATTGTAAAATACGCTTTTACATTAGTCAGTGGACACGCACCATTGCTGTGTGAAAGTGGTATTAACCTTTTGTAACTCTGACCTACGTCATGTGACCGGGGCCAGGAAACAAAGCTTAGTCTTTTAACAGTAGAGAAACATTGTTTCATCAGAGTTTGCCGATTTGGCAAAATCAGAATGTTTTGCAGACAGTCCAAGGGACCCAGGCATGGTTTCTTGCCAGTTTGCCTGCCCAGCTCCACAACAGTCAACCTGCTAACCCAGGGAGCCCAGGGCTTCCAGAGTCCATGACTCTCTGGTTCCATTCCCTGCTGGAGAATTTGGAAGTTTGTGGGGTTTGCTCCTAATCAGAACAAAACAAAATGTCAAAGTATCCCCCACCACAAAACCTCTCTAGTAAGTACTGTACAGAAGCCTCAAGTCCAAAATTAAACGACACGACGGGTTCTCCAGCTCTCTTACTCTGCAGACCATTTTGCAAGAGATGTTTTTAAGTGTCCGTCTCCCTTCCAACCCTCAAAACTTGGGTCTCACCCTTCGTTATGCTCTGCAACACCAGGGGCTCCTACAGGCCAGTCCGACAACTACCAAACTGCACTGCAGTGGCGTTCAATACGTTTCTAACATTCATTATCTTGATTTAAATAAAGAGATGCCTATCAAAGGTTCCAGGTGCCCTAACACCTTGATACAATAAAATCCCAGCAACCTTAAAATGATCCTTTTAACAGGAACTCCGAGTCAGCCCTCTCCAAAAACTCTGACTCATGCATTGTGCCTGGAACTGCTTCTCATGCTGGTTATTTTGGACCAAGATCTCCTTATCCTTATTCCTTATCCTCTAGATCTCTTTAGAGCCAGGGTGGCCGTTTCTATTAGCCTAACGAAGTAAGATACAAAAAAAGGGCAAAACCTCTCTTACTTTTCTCTTACTCTTAGGCCTAAAAGGTTATTCTACACATTTTTAGCTTAAAAGTGTCAGGAATGCCACATCTGGTCCTTACTTTGGTGGAGGACCTACTGGGTGTTGCAGCATATTTATTGTGGGTG